AACATCAGATCAATAAATGATTTTTTTTTTAATATTCTCAAAAAGAAGAACAGCGTCAAAACTATTGATAACAAGAGAGGAGAGAAAAAAAGTAACCAAGAAAGTAGCTCAAAACGAACTTATGAAAATTTAAAGCTTTCTATATGATAATATATAATTAGATATATTTGTGAATTAATAGAATTATACTGTCAGTTAATGATAATGAGATTAATAATGTCAGTTAATAATAATGTCAGTTAATAATAATGTCAGTTAATAATAATGTCAGTTAATAATAATGTCAGTTAATAATAATGAGATTACTTATGAATAAAAATTATACTGTCAGTTATTAAATTTGATCTTTTCTAGCTAAAAAAAAAAGAGTTAGGGATTTAACAGTAAGCACTTAAAATTATCTAATGCAGTTTTTTACTATGTATTTATCTTCTACCTTTATATAGACAAGGAATTTTAGGTATACAAGCGAAGTTTAGAAAAAAAAGGTTTCTCAATATATTTTTGGGACACCCTATTGCACAAGTTATAGAACTTTAGTTGTAGTTCATCTTTTCAAGATTTAACTGAAAACACAGAAGTTGTAATTTAGAAACGTAAGATGTGAAAACACGAGTCGTAAATAAGAAAGCGTAAGATCAAATTAAGAACATGATAGTTGTAATTAAGAAAGTGACGATTGTGCCCCTCCACTTCAACACCCGCATCGTCGGCCCTGAGCGGTAACTGGAAAAATTTCATTGGGTGGTTACAGTTATTCAGTTGAATAGCAAATAAAATATAGGTCATTTATTGAAAAAATAAACTAAATTAAAATTAAATTTAAACAATGCCATTAAAAAATCACTGCGATGTTCAGATAAATATTATCCCCACCCGGCATTTGGTCCTAAAAAGACGTCTTTTAAACGTTCAAAACACGTGTTTTTAGAACTAAATGCCCACTGGTCGTTACGTAAAGCGTGGTAGTTGTTATAATGGGAAATGGATGCGCACAGCACGTGCGCAATCATTTCCCATTATAGTATTTTTGCCGCAGTAACGATTCTTTTTAAACATTGCATTGATTGTTACATCACCCCAGCACCTTATACAAATGGAGTGTTAATCAAATTTTTAACTTTACTTTTAATTTTGGACCAGATTGTTTTCACTAAATTTAACTTTGGACTACAGGTTCAAAAACGTAGCATCTGAACTGGTAAATTTTTAAACATTATTTTCAAACAAACGTGACAAGGAGCATATTCTGAAACGACAAACAAATTCTTTAAACAATTCCCGGATGAAATATAGTCAACTTCAACTCATTACCTCTGCTTTAAATCTCAGTTTTAATCGTGAAGACATTTTTTAATGATATAGGTGCAATCAAAGGTTTAAACTTATTGGCAGGTATTTTTATTATTGCTTTTCTTCTTTGTCTGGCGCGTCCTTCCGTTAAAAAAAGTTAAAACTTGTTTCATCCAACCAGACTTCAATCTGACAAGCTCTAAAGTTGCTAACATTTTTAGCTCTTTTTTGCTTGTTTTTATGACTGTTCATTGTAGAAGGCTTCTTCTGTACCTTTTTTATGAAAAAAATATTTGCCTTTAAGGTAATTGGCGACTGTTCTTGTGCTAAAGCTTTGAGGTAATTGGCGACTGTTGTTGTGCTTATTTTAAGCTGTCTTAATAATTTTTTTTGATGATTTCGATTGACGCTTTCAATTCATACTGATCTTTCTTAGATTTGATCTTTGGTCAATATTTCTGGCTTGAAACCACCTTTTTCGATAAAATTTTACCATTCGCTGCAAGCCCAATTATACTCCTTTTTAAGAAATAATTGAAAACTGCAGTTAAAAAAATATTTAATATAGAAAACTAAAATCGTAATTAAGAAACGTTTTTACGTGTAATTTAAAACATGAAACTGTAAATAAGAAATTGTACGATGTAATTGAGAACATAAAAGTTGCAACTAGGGTTGAGCTTTTACCGGGTTTTAAATTTACCGGTAAAAATTGGTAAAAATAAAGTAATTTACCGGTAAATGGTAAAAAATGGTAAATTTAAAAAATATAAGTTCTTATGAAATAACATGCTTTTTTGACTCCTTAACATAATTAAGACAGCTATGAATAAAACACAAAAACTACAATTTTTAGGAATTATATTTTCAACAAAAAATGGGCTTTAAGGAAGCACAACTGTCAAGTAGGTCATGACTTATTCTGGATCAAATTTTTGTGACAAATAGTCCAGCAGCAGAAAATGCTCTCTCCGATTCAACAATTGTGGGAGGGTTGAATCAAGAGCATTGAATAACAGCTCAAGATTTGCAGTTCTTTTGCTGGTGGCTTCAAAGACCATCATTTCTTTAAAATGGCTTTAAATTCATCATTTGAGTTATGTCTCTGCTTTTTGGCTGAATGTTCGATGGCCTCTTCTAACTCTTCCTGGAGAGAAAGTTGTTCTTCAGCTTCTTTTAGTCTTTTGCCTCTCTCTACTTGATCTAGAATGACAATGTCTTTTGTGGGGAAAAGCCTTGAAAGCAATGATTTTGCAGTTCTCTGAAGAACAGTCTTAAAAGGCATGTTGCAAATTTTATGCTCTTCAATTTTGCGAAGGCAGTCTGGGTTAGACAAATATTTGTACAGGCTGACCAAGTTGCTTTGTTTCCTTTCTCTAAATTGCTTTAAGACAGCATCTTTCATTCTGATGCAAAAACTGAGTTTTTCCGATTCAATTTATTGATAAGAAGCTTGAAGATTCTCTCTGCTGTTAACAGGATGGCATTTTTCCTGCAAAGAGCTTCAGCTGCCGACTTCATTGTTTCAAGGGCATCAACAATATCGATCAAGATGTCCAACTCCTGCTCTGTGCAAATGAGACTTAGAGATATGTTTGCAAGTACAACTCCGATTTGTTTATTAATTTTAAAAAACTGTTGAATCATTGCCAAGAGGCTGTTCTATCTTGTTCGACAGTCCAAAATGAGAGCAACTTTCCCAAACTTGACCATCATTGAAGAACTTGACCATCATTGTCAGTGACACAACAAACAATACAATCAGCCAAGTTCAGTCCAAATTCTTCCACTTTCTCTGAGACAACTTCTGCTGCTTTTTCTGCAGGGAAAGATCCGGAAACAGATGTGAGTCCAAGGTTTCAGTGTTTGCTCTTTTAGTGAATGTTGATGTTGAGAAATCTTTGGTTTTTCATGTATGTGTATTCATCCAGAGTAATGGAAAAACGTTCTTCGTTCGACAATAATGAGTTTACTTGATTTTTCAACTCAGCTTTAACACTGGTAGAATATTTTTTCACCAGTTGAATGGTGAAAAAATATTCTTGTTTGTGGTTTTTTGGGAAATTATCATTGCCAACCGAATGAATGTGCTTTTGGTTGAAGCATTAAAACTAAATCTTTACCAGTTTTGAAAGAACTTCACCAATTGACTCTTTTTCTTTGTTGTGTTGGGGCTTTTTTATCCCATGTTTTTGACCAAGATGGTACCACATTCCTGTTGTAGATCCTGTGAACACAGTTTTGTTCTCACATTTCTTGTAAATACTTTCAGGACGGATCTGAAAGATCAGGACGATCAGACGATCAGACGGCGATCTTTTTCATGTTTTTAGGCTCCAGACATTTTTTTTGTAATTATTTTTTTTGTAATTATTTTATGTGTGTCAGTTGACTGACTAAAGTACTACTTGACTAAATAAATAATAATATTGATTAAAAATGTTTGAATAAAATTGAATAAAAAATGAATTAAAAAAATAAGCACTAACACTTTCATTTAATTCATAAGATGCATCAAGTGGCATCAGACGCCATTTATAATGGAAAAATTAATTAAAAAGTTCAAAATTTCTTTGTTTTGATATGAATGTTTAATTAAAATGGCAAAAAAAGCTTTTTTCTTAACTTTTACCATTTACCGTCAAAATTTACCGGTAAAATGGTAAAAAAATGATAAAAGCTCAGAAAAAAAATGGTAAAAGCTCAACCCTAGTTGCAACTAAGAAAAGTTTCTCAGAACAAAGTTCTTTTTATTTTTAACTTTTGCTGAATAATAAGTATAAAAAAGTAAAACAAAAATAAAAAGTATAAAAAAAAAAAAAAAAAAAAAAATTTATTTACAAAAAATTTTATAAAGATTTAAATTGAACCTAAAAAAATAAAAAATAAAAACGTTAAACTCAGTTTGCATATGTGTAAATGAAATAATAACCGTAAGTGATAATAATAAATAACTGTAAATAATAAATACTTAAGATGTTTCGCTCTGGAAATATCGCTTCAACTTAAATTTTTTATAATCTGTAGACCTAAAAGCCCTTACTAAAAATGATTTTAATTTTTAACATTTATATCAATAACTAATTAAAAAAATAATGAAACGAGTTACAACCAAATATTTATACGAGTAAAAGTTGCAGATTTTGAGTTCGACAGTGAACTTTATTTAGTAACAACCCCGGTTGACCACAAAAGTTTTATGCTGCCAATACTAAAAAATCTTTCATTGCTTTGTTTTGATTTAAAGGTTTGTTATGTGCTTTAAATTGAAATCTGTGTCTTACATTGGTATAGTTTTATGTTATATAATGTCATGGCAATGTTTTATATTATAACAATTGTATTTACGACTGTAACGGTTATGCTTTTGATTAAAACGGTTGCATTTAAGAATTATAATAGTTGTATTATAGATTATAACGGTTGTATTTTAGATTAAAACGGTTGATTATGGGATTGTAATTGTTTTATTTAAAATCTTAACACTTGTATTTTGGATTGTTACGGTTGTATTTTAGATTATAAAGGTTGTATTTTTTATTGTAACGGTTGTTTTTTTGAATGTAACGGTTGTATTTTAGATTATAACGGTTGTATTTTAGAATATAACGGTTGAGTTTTGGATTTTAACGGTTTTATTTAAAATTCTAACGGTTGTATTTTGGACTGTAACGGTTGTATTTTAGATTATAACGGTTGTATTTTAGATTGTAACGGTTGGCACAAGTTTAGAAAATCATGCTACAAATATTATTACTTTTCGGAATACTTTGATTCAGCTCAAGCAACTTGTTATGACAATAACGCCCATCTTGTTTCAATATTGGATACACGCGAAAACAACTTTGTTATAGATCTAATTTCGTCAAAATATGCTGGATCTGTTACGTGGATAGGTTTGCGGAACTTTTCATTCACATTTGAATGGATTGATAAGCAAAATATTACTTTCTCTAACTTAACAGTTTATGGTGAAGGAAAATGTGCGATGATTGATGCAAACAAAGTATGGAAAAGTACTGTCTGTGATGTCAAACTACCTTTTGTTTGCAAACGAGGTAAGCTTGATAAAAGTAAATTTCAGAATAAACTTTTTTTACTGAAAAAAAGGCCCAATTGTTACGGATTCTTTGATGGATAAGCAAGCAGTGGCGAGATCAAGGGAGGAGGATATGGGTAGCCCCCCCTCCCCTTGGAATTATATTATATATATATATTTTTTAAGACGAGTAAAAAAATATATCAATAATCTTTATATGCATAATTTATGCATATATTCGTATGCATATTTTATGCAGCATAGTTTATTGTAAAAACCCACGAATGTCTTTTCCTTTTTTACAAAATTTTTTTTAAACCATAATGCATTGTAACTTAATGTGTTCCATAGCAAATGTTTGTTAAGTTTGCACTGTAGTTTATTCTTTTGTATCTGCTTATTTAATATAATTGGTCATTTATTATCATATACAGTAAATTCTCGTTAACTCGAACCTCCAAAGGACAAAGGACGGTTCGACTAAATGAATATTCGACTTAAGCAAAATAAAACAATTGTTATTGCTTTCAAGGGACTACAAAAAATAGTTCGAGATAACAAAGTTCGAGCTAATGGGTTGTTTGGCTTACCGGAAAATAAATGTGTTTATTTTATTTTTATTTTTCAATAAGTTTAATTTTTACACAATTTTTACACAATTAAAATATGAGCAGTGCCAATGAAGATAGTGAAAAAGCAACAACTGAAAAAAAAAGTCAAAGTTTTTTCATATTTTTACAAGAAACATATATTATCATAAGAGGTTAATAATACAGAAAACTTATTCATTTCAATACCGTGAACTAATCTAAAAATAAAAAAACACACCGCTTGCAATATATAAAAAGATACTTTAGGACCTTTAACTTTTATTAAGGTTATTGTATATTATTTAAACTCAAAGTCTTAAAATCAAAATACAGGATATAGATTTTGGCTGGACCTGATTTTATTTTTCCTTTCTCAACACATCTTAAAAAAAGCAGAGAAGGAAAACGATACTTAAATCAATCTCACTTCACAAAATTTCCTATGTTTCTATTATAAAGATAGTTTCGGGTAAAACAATTTTATTGGTAACAAATAAAAATTTATAAACAGACGGTCTTAATAAACTTTTAACGTGTACAAGTTATTTAACGTGCACAAGTACGCGAGAGAATGCGTATAATCTTATTAAGTGTCGTCCATAAATTACTTCAAGTAGCTTCGACCATTTTTGACCCCCATCGTATACTTTTGTAAAACGTTCCACACAAGTCTTTACAAAACCACTAACCCCTTTTCCTTCCCCCTTTGAGTGTGATTTAATTTAAAGACGACCCTATATGTGAATTAAGTTGTAATAAATAAAATACGGCAAAGTAAGTTTTTGAACTTTAACTACCCCGCTCCTTAGTGAGTGATAAATCCGTCCCTGTAAGCGAGTTTGAAGGATAATGTTTGAAGAATGAAAATAAATTTATTATTGCAGGATTATTTACTTTAAAAAAAATTTATTAGTTAATGTTAAACATAAAACACAAACGACAAAAAACCAATAATTGTGTTCAAATAAAAACATAATCAACTATTTCTCTAAACGTTGATTAAGCCTATTTAGCTGATTCTTATCTCTATATTTTAAACATTATAATAATGTAGTTTCACCGGGGGTTTCTTTTTTTTCTATAACAACATATTCTGTTATAAAAGCCACTGCACAAACAAAAAGCACACAGGAACTCAAATATTTTGTCAGTATTAAAAAATATAAGTTTTCAGTTAATGCTGAAAATAAATGTAAATAAATAAAAACATTTAATAAACTCTATGAATTACAGAGAATATGCAATGTAGTTAAATATTTTGAAAATAGAAATATATATTTTATATTTTTTCTTACTTTTTTTTTAAACTTTATAAGTTTTAATTTTTAAGTATAAATCAAAAGTTATAAAATGTTTTTAAAATACATTTATAATAAATTAATATTTATTAGTTTTATTTTTTTTTAAAGGCAGCCTCGATTTGATGTCCGACAATTTTGACTTTGCAGTGATCATTTCTCTTGTTTGTATATCAGCAATAATTGTTTTCGTCCTATATGCGTTCTGCAAAATAAACAGACCAATATGGTTTTATCAAATTTACGCAAAGTTTCGACAATTGTTTTGCTGCATGTTTACGTAGTTGTAAATTTTAATACTTTAAGCATGTGAGAAATATGTAAGGTATGTGAGAAATATGTAAGGTATGCTTAATGAGTTATGCTAAACCTTTGACTTAAAGTTCACTCAAAATATTTAAATAAACACGTATTCTTTGCAAGAGTTTACCAAAGTACTTTGAAGCATCACGTATTCTTCTCAAAGCAATTTGAAACCAAATCGATATTGCTAATGCCTTAACTTTTTTAAATGCTAATAACTTATTATTCTGCTTTACAGAAACCGAATTTTTGTCAATTTTGAAACTTGCTATAGTCAAACGGACATGAAATGTAACAGATTTTTGTCAGTTTTACAGTACGAATAATCTGATTGTGTAGAACACTTGTAAATAAAAATGTTTGTAATATTTCTAAAATAAACTTTTTATAAAAAACATGTTATTACCGTAACAAATGAATTATTAGTAAAAAATAAAAATACTACATATATATAAAGTTGAATATTTTACATACATAATTATATATAAATAAATAAATATATATATATATATATATATATATATATATATATATATATATATATATATATATATATATATATATATATATATATATATATATACAATGTCACAAAGTTTTTGGGTGTTTTTCTTGATGAAAACATCACATGGAAAGCGCATATTGACTATATTAGCACAAAAATTTCTAAAAGCATTGGAATTTTATAAAAAATCCAGAACATATCTATGTAAAAAAGATTTAACCCAACTATACTACTCATTTATTCATACTTATTTAAATTATGCAAATATTGCTTGGGGAAGTACAGAAAAAAGCAAGTTACAATGTCTTTACCGCCGTCAGAAGCATGCGATCCGTTTATTTAATTTTGCGGATCGATACACTCATTCCAAACCTTTTTTTATTAAAATGAAAATTCTTAATATTTACGAGCTTAATGTGTTTAATGTTTTATGCTTTATGTATTTGTGGAAAAATGACTTATCCCTAGCTATCTTTAAAGTTCTCTTTTGTGAAAAACCAATAAATAAATACACTCTTAGAAATAATAAATTTTTGCATAAACCTTTTTGTCGAACAAAGTTTAATCAGTATGGTATTGCTTATCGTGCGCCATATTTTTGCAATAAAGTTGTTTTGCCAAATTTTGATATATTCTACACTTTTCCAATTTTCAAACATAAACTCAAAAATTTTATTTTATTTTCCGATGACATAATAAAGTTCTTCTAATTGTAATTATGTAACTTTATTTAGAACTTTTTTAATTGTAAAATACGTTTTATGTTAATTGTAAAATACGTTTTATGTAACTACTCTTTTTGTTTTACTTTTCTGATTATTCTATATTGTATATAATCTATATTATATAGATTATATACATTGTAAATAAATATGCTAAATGCTTGTAAAAGGTTCTGATGATAAGATCAGTACGATCTTCTTTCAGAAACCTTGTTTGTATTTGTTAAAGTATTGTATTACGACAAATGTAAACTTAAAATGTAAAATATATATATATATATATATATATATATATATATATATATATATATATATATATATATATATATATATATATATATATTTGAATGTATACAAAATCAGAGCCGACGACACGATTTTGAAGTGGGAAGGCACAATCGTAAGTTTAAAAAAATAATGGAACCGTAAATAGTTTTTAGTTATTTTTTTAAACGTCCATTTGAATCGAAGAGCGGGCGTATTTTAAAGGTCTCACGAAAACGTTTTTTATTAGTTTTTTTTGAACGTCTTTATAAAATGGATACCGGACATATTTCTAAAAATGTTTTTTGAAGTTTTATTAAGGGCCTCGCGAAAACTTTTTTTATTGGTTTTTATTATGTCTAAAAAAACATTTTAACGGTTTCAACGATAGTTCTAAAAACCTGTTCCTATGTGTAAGTTATTCACGTATAGAACTTACGTTATACAAAAAAAAAAATCCTGCTACCGCCAACTCAGCGCATGAGTAGTACTTCAGTACGCAAAAATGTTGGTCAATATCGGACGCTACTTTGGATTAGTTTTAATGACTAGTTGTCTGTTTTTTTTTACTGTTCCTATGCTAAGCCAATAATATCTTCGGATATAAGAACATCGTATAGAAAAATATAGCATAAAAATTCAAATAAAAAAAGAATAAAAAAAATGATCACGTATCGACTTATCGACCAAGTCGAATTTTTCTTGTATGTTTCACTTATGTTTCTAAAAAAAAAAAAATACAATAGAAAACTTTCATGCATTTTACTATTACATATAAAGGGTGTTACATAAACACACAATATACTCAGGGTCAGGACCGACGCGAGTAGATGTTGCGTGGGATGTAATGTTTGGGAGTGCCATTACAACTTTTCCCATCTAAAAAAAAAAGTCCTCATTTTTTAAAATTTGCCAACTGCCTTATCGACATTTGCCATCTGACTGCTAAATTTACCAACTAACTCGTCTAAAGAGTTTACATTTGCAGACTGACTTGTCAAAAAGTTTCAAGTTTGCTGTCTAAATGAACAAAAAAAACATTCATGAGGGAGGGGGATTATCATACTCCCACACACCTCCATCAAGTTGGCCTTGCTCAGGGTAAATTCTAAACGTTACGTTTAATTTGTTTATATACTTACCATTTGATTATGTAATAAAATTAGAAAAATAACTGTTGTAAATATAAAACTTATAATCAATCAATGATAATTAATTAAAATATAATTATCTATTTATAAAATCTTTTAAATAAAAAATATAAAATCTTTTATTTCACAAATATGCACCACGCTTCTTTGAAAATTACTTTTAATTGTTTTATATAATAAAGTTTTTAAATGACATTCTTCCATAAGTTCCAGCTCTCTTAATAGAGTAATAAATTTTTAGCCTCAGACGTTTTCTCCAGGTTTTCCATTGCAGATAAAGACTTTTTGATTTCAGACAATAAGCATGCTAATTCCATACATATTGCATATAAAAATCTTTATATATATATATATATATATATATATATATATATATATATATATATATATATATATACATATATATATATATATATATATATATATATATATATATATACATATATATATATATATATGTATATATATGTATATACATATATATGTATATATATGTATATATATGAATATATATATATATATATATATATATATATATATATATATATATATACATATGTACATATATATATACATATATATATATATATATATATATATATATATATATATATATACATATATATATATATATATATATATATATATATATATATATATATATATATATATATATATATATATATATATATATATATATATATATATAAAAATATATATATATATATATATATACATATATACGCACGGGACCTAAATAAAGACGTATTTTGAACGTTCGAAAGACGCCCAAAACGTTCAAAAGACGTACAAAATAATCCAAAGGCATTTAAAAGACCTCTTTTTATGTCCTATTCTCTTTGGGTAAAACATGCGATCGTTAAATTCAAAACAATAAAAAATTCAAAAAAATGAAAAATATTTCAGCCAATGCAAAAACTAAAAAAAATATTTATTTTAATCCAAGGAACTTGAAAATTATAAAAAAGCTTTTTATTTTAATATTTTTCTTTATTTCAAATAAATAAGCAAACATTTACGCTAGTTAACGACACCAACTTTTGCAGTGTCTTTGGAAATATTTTTCTTTCTTACTAATGTCCTTTCTCTAATCAAATTTTTAGTTGTGTTTATTGCTTTGCCAATTTTACGCAAATATCCTTTATATACGCAAATAACCTATTCTCTAAAATTTCTCAATGAGACGGAACTGTTTGCAGATTGATGGATTTAAGCTTTTTGGTATGAATTTGATGTTTCTTGAATTGTACCACTCTTCTTAGAATAATGACAAGAAGCAAGATTAGGCCAGAACCAACAGGGGACATCGTGTTTTTGATAAATTTGCAAAAGTCCAGCTCGCAAGTATTCTTTGATGAAAACATCCAAGTTTAAAGTTGACGATGTGACAAAAGCTCGAGATCTCAAACCACAACTGCATATTGTTTGCCAAATTTTAAGCTTTAAAAAACTCTGAAATTTTATACCATTTGGCTTGTTCTCTATTGGATAAACCGTGAATGGTTGTTGAATACTAATTGCTGCTTTCTTATTTTTAAAGCCACTCTTTCGTCCGAATCCTTTTGCTCGTTCTATAGATAGAGAGCTCTTGTATTGTTTTATGACTATACAAAATAGTTTTGCTAGATCCAAATGCTTTAGCTATTGAAAGTAACGATGCAGAAGGATTTTGTAAATAGTTGTGCAGAATTTGTCTTGTTTTTCTAACTGTTTTAATGACATTTTAATTGAGAGAAACATTTTGACGTTTTTAATTTGATGTTTTTAATTAATACTATAATTATTTAATTACGCAAAAAAATATTTGTGTTAGTGACAAGTTTTAAAACAAATTTCATCGTTCAAAATTTAACGACTGCACGCTTTAGTATAATTTTAAAGGTATGAACAACATTTTTTTTTTTAACATCTTCGTTTCCAAGAAGGTTGCAAGCAACCACTAATTAGTGTTGGAAGTTACTGGAGAAAAGATGAAGATTGTAGAGCAAGATAACGGTTGACAGACAACCTAAAAGATTGCAAATTATATGAATCAGGAAAGCAAGATGAAGCAAGCGAATTTTAAAAAACTGATACGTTCGAGGCAAAAAACTAGACGAATAAGAGTTTTTGGAGCACTTAGGAACAGTCACAGAAAAAGGATGAGACTTAATTGAATGACGAGTAACACGAGAATAAATTTTAGTAGATGGCACAAGAGACGCTAGCTCTTTAGAGCAGTGCCCATTATAATATTTGTAGAAAAGAGAAAGAGAAGCAACATTACGACGATGTCATATTGGTTATAGGTTGGCTGCAAGAGCAGGTCTAACTATGTTTACAATGCGTTTTTGTACCTTATCTAAAAGAAAAAGGACATCATTAGAAGATCCACCCCAGATATGGCAACAGTATTCCATACAAGGCCAGATTTGAGATTTATAGAGATAGAGACTAGAATCCAAAGTAAGAAAGTGTCGAGCTCGATAAAGAGATGCAACTTTAGTAGATGCCAATTTTGCAACGGTTTTGATATAAGGTTTCCAAGAAAGATCAGAAGTAAGAGTAATCCTAGAAGATGAAGGGTAGATGACTCATTGAGTACATTACTATTCATAAAAATAGGAAGGTCTAAATTATTGCGATAACAATTGGCTGAAAAAAACTGAGTTTTATCTGAATTAAAGTTTACCAGCCACTATGAGCCCCATGCTGTAGCAGAAGTGAGATCCTTTTCAAGCTCAAATGCCCCCTGAAAGCAATTAGAGATTTTTGGCCTCTTA